CCCGCCGTCGCCGCCCTTCCTCACCTAAAATTCTCACTCACTGCTCCCCTCCCTTTCTGGAGCCTCGATCAGGTCCACCCGTAGTTCCTTCGTGCGACCAGGGTGACAGTGATCCTGCCCCCAGGCGAACTCTACACCCCCAGTCCTACCGCCCCTCTTTTTATTCCCCTTTACTCCCCCACCCCCATTCAACCCAACTTCAGTTACGGTGCTGCGCCCCCCTTCCCTGGGCCGGCTCGATTGGCCGCTTCCAGAGCTGTCAGACTCGAGTCCAGTGTTCTTATTGGGCGATTCTGTGGCCGGGCGGCCGTGCCAAAGGAGGGCGCGCCGAGTAGGGGGCGCCCGGGCCGCGACTGCTGCAAGGAACTGGAGACGGAGTCCCTGGAGAGGTCCGAGGGGCCCAGAGCCAGACCCGGAAATGGACCAGGGAAATGCTGAGAGTGAAGGTCTCTGAGGCGCAGGAAGAAAGCCATGGAAAAGATGGAGATGCAGTGTGGGTGAGGCCGATGCAGGGGTGGGGCAGACAGAACCGCTTTGGTGGACAGTTACCTAGAGAAAACCCCACGGACAATGCTGGGAACACCTGGCTTTTATAAGGAGCTCATTGCCTGTACTTTTAAAATCTCATTTGATTCTCGCAACCTTGCGCTGTGACAGGGGACAAGGGCAGTGGTTAGTCCCTATTTATAGAAGTGGAAACCGTGGCTCCAAGAACTTCTCCAATTTGCCATAGATCACACAGGTCCCCTAACCTGCAATCCAAAGATCTTAAGTAACAGGCTGCCTCCTTCACCTAGCGAGCCCATGGACAAGGCAGTCTCCTTGCCAGTCCAAGAAGCAAGAATGAATAGAGACTCCTTCCCAGGACCACTGGACAAAAGGCAGGGGTGGACAAGACTATGTCCCTCTTCATCTCTCTTGGTCCCTAAGCTGTCCTTCTGGGGTCCTAGCAGTCTCCTACTGAGAAAGGGTGACCCATAAGCCTTCCCTGTCTTCATCCTTCAGCCCTCTCCCCCAAAGCTGACAAGGAACCAAAAGGTCTGCTGGAGCTGCCTTCTCTCTCTGCTGGTCATCTCTTTGTGGACTGGAAGATAAACCTTGCCAGAGCTACAAATTGGGAGGAGAAAAATTCCAAAAGATCTGAGTAAACTAGCTCTTGAGTAATCATCCAGCCTTTGAGTAATCCATGATTAGCTAAGTGGTAAAAAGCAACATAAACTTAGTCAACAAAACCCTAGTGTGCTCCAATGTACCAAGCACTGTGCTGGGTACTATCAGAAAAGGTTGGACCTGGAACTTACAGTCATGGTGGGTGGGTTCGGGGAGTGGGAGGGCTGGCCAGCATCTCCAGCTCAGCCAGGTTCAGTGTTGAACAAGATTCCCAAGAGTAATCAGTGATCAGAGAAAGGCACCGATTCCTGTTGTGAGGGCCAAAAAGATGCTGAGGCCAAATCTGGGTCTAGCAGAGAAGGAAGAGTAAACAGCAAGATGAGGAATATTTATTAAGCTTCTTGGTATTGCATTTTGTTGTCAGTGTCGAAAGCTAACTACAACATATTTAATCAAGATCTTAATTGACTTTGATTTGTGATTCAAGACTGAATGGTCCTCTGAACTGAACTGAGGATGCTGACTTTCTAGACAAAAAAAAAAATGGCTGAAGATACAGAGACAGAACAGAGTGCATAGATAATTTTAAAGCTACTTCCATTGGAAAGGTGAAATCAGAAAGGACTTCCTTATGATGCCAGCTGAGCTTGGCAAGTTCGCTCCTTGTATTCTCTTTCAGCCTCTTAATTTCTTGGAGGGTCAGATGAACTAAATGGTTCATCATTTAGTGTGGCCTGGTGGCCTGGCCTGGAACTTTAGCACAAGCAACTCCAGTTTGATTAGTTTTATTGGGACTAGTGTAGGATCTCAATCTAAATCAATGGCCTCTTGTAAATTTGATTTCACTTTACATAACCATTTTGAGCACAGTGTTAATCACTCTAGTATAAAGATGAGAATACAGTGTCTTAGTAACTTAAAGAATACAGTGTCTGGTCCATGTTCTCTACCATGTAGCCATGTGGCAAATACAATATGGAAGGGACACTGGAGACAGCCACCTGCACGCACAGAAGCCAGACAGGCAGAGACAGCAGAGCTATTGGTCAAGCTTCCATTCTTGATGGTTTTCTCATTCCCCTAGCTCTCCCAAGATCATTCTTTCCCCCACCCCTTCCCTTTCACTACTGGGGGTGTGGGCGTTGAAACCAGGGCTTCCTACATGGTAGGCAAGCACTCTACCACTGAATGATTATTCTAATTGCTTTCAATTAAAAAAAATCTTAAAAGCCATGTATGATTAATGCAGAAAAAAACTAAAAAAGAAAGAAAAACATCCATGATCCTACCATTTAGAAGGAATCAGCTCTAAGGTCTTAATATTTTTTTCTTAAAGAATAACAGCTGTGACTTATATTCTATAACTTGCTTTAGAGTATGCTTTTACCTCTTAGCAAAATTTTTCCATGTCAGTAAACATTTTATTTTTGAAACAAGTTCTCATTGTGTACCTCAGGCAGGCCTTGAACTTATGATCCTCCTGCCTCAGCCTCCTAAGGGCTAGGATTACAGCTGTGTAATACTACACCTGGCAAATGTCCATTTTATTGTTAAAATACCCATTGCATGAATATAGAGTAACTTGGCTTAACCAGTACCCTGTTGTTAAACATTCCCTTTCAGCAGTTTCATAAAGTGCTTTCACTCTTCTACTGTTATGAACGATGAGCATTTTTATAGACAAATCTCCACAAGCATCATTAATTAACAGCCTTAGGAGAAATTCCTACAAGTAGATTTGCTAAGTCCAAAGGATAAACATTATATCCCTAAGATATTTCTGAAATCTGTCTTCAGCCCTTGCCTCCCTTCCAGTTCCAAGTTTTCCCCTGCCCTTGGATACTCTTGGGACACACCCATACCCTGATTCCCTTTGTCTAAAACTAAGGTCATCTCCCAAGTGACTTGATGTTCCTTGTGTTTTCTCACAGTAGGATGACTGTCCCTCAAACTTCCCAAGAGTGGTGTTCTTTCCACATTTGTCTCTTCTTCTACATTCTCTTACTACTACCTTTGTGCAGATGGTCCCCCCTTTGCCCCAACTTGCCCCCCTTGCCCTCAAACCTGCCCTTCCTATGCTCATTTGATCCACCCTCACTGAAAGCTGTCCACAAGCTTATCATGCACCACTTCCCCATGTCACCCAGCTCCTGAACTGCTCTGTGTGCCTCTATAGACATTACATCTTTTCCTTCCACAAATTAACAGCACCAGAGTGAAGCCCTGTCTGATGCCCCTCTCCAAATCCTAAGACTGGTAGGCAGTCCCTCCTCTGCTCCCAGGACAGCTTGCTTATATACTGTCCTAACCTGTCACATGATATTGACATGTTTACAGGCCCAGTTCCACCCTCTGCTGAACACCTTGAGGGTAGAGTTGGTATAGATGTCCACTAGGTGGTGCATCTAAGGACTTGTAAGCAGGATGGGGGTCTTAGTGTACATTAGGAAGGTGCTTGAGATGATGAGTGGAGCTGGACAAATGAATTTTATCCTTCAACACAGTACAGGAATTTAGATTTAAAGACAAAAAGGAGGAACTGGGAGATGACTCAGTGGGTAAAACTCTTGCTGTTCAAGCACGAGACCTGAGTTTAGGTCCCCAGCACCCATATAAAGGCTAGGTGTGGTGGCACATGTCTATAATGCCAGCCAGTCTACCCAAAACAAGTTCCATTGGCTGGAACAGACGTGGTGGTTGTTTCCTATGTAAGGAGGAGTCTCTAAGATCAGGAGAAAACCCAGAAAAGTTGGAATCACAGAGTGGAAAAACAGAGGTTCCGAAGAAAGTCCAGGTTGTACACCTGATGTAGAAAGACTGCTGCCCTTGGGCAGGCTGCTGGCCTCAGGACTATGCCAGGTCTCTCTTGACTATTGGTAAGGTCAGTAGAAT